CGCAACAGCTCTTTCGTTGCTGCTGTCACGGAGGGTCTCAATATCTGACCTAACACCATCCAAACCGGACTTGAGCGCATCCAGAACCTCGTCGTTGGCAGTCAAGTCCACAGGTTTATTGATAACTCTTTCAAAGGCCGCGCGGAGGTCGTTCAGGCCATCCTGAATGGCATCCAAGATGTCGCCTGTCTCAGGTCGAGGCCGCAAGATTTCTTGTCGAAGGCTAGTCAATCCATTGTGAAGGGCTTCAAGGACTTCCTGATTATTGACACTAGGAGCTGTAGGGGCGGCTGCAGGGACCATAGAAGAGTTGACAACTTCGCGCAATCCCTCCAGCTGTGTTTGGAGCTCCTCGCGGGAGCTGTCGTTGGCCATGGATACAGCCCTGGAAACTTCCTTCTTGAACTCCTCCATGGTCCTTGACATGTTGTCCATAAACTCTTCGTGGCCAGCAACACCAGAAACCCTGTCGACGTAGCTTTCGATGGCGATGCGAAGATTTTCAAGTCCATCCTTGGTGGCGTCAAGAACTTGCTCAGTGTCTCGTCCATTTGCGGCCACATTGTCTTTGGCTTCCTCAGAGACAGCCTTAAATTCAAGCTTCATGTATTCCATAATGTCCTGAAGGCGAGAGACAATCTCATCAGTATTGGCGGGCACTGCCACAAGAGCATCGCCACGAGGAAGATCGAGCCCGCTAAGGCCCTCACGGACAGCTCGATGAACGTCATCGCGATGTGACTCAGAGGCGGCCTTGAATTCAAGCTTCATATACTCCATAATGTCCTGAAGGCGGGAGGCAATTTCATCATTGTTGCTAGGAGCCGCGATAAGGGCATCATTTCGAGGGAGATCAAGACCGCTGAGGCCTTCGCGCACGGCGTCAACGACATCACGGTGCGACAACTCGGCGCCAACGGCAGATGCGGCGACGGGGAATTCAAATTCCTCAAGACAATCACGAACAGCATCAATGATTTCGTCTCGGGATAAGGAGGCTGGGGTTTCGACCTGGGGAGGGACAAAGTGCTTGAGCCCTTCCACAACGGCCTTGAATACTTCTTCTCTGGTTGCAGCCTCAGGTCGTTCATCCCGAGGAGCATACTCCTGAAGGCCTTCTTTGAGGCAAGCCAAGACTTCATCTCGTTCAAGACCGAGCTGTTGCACTTCAATCTCGGGCTTGTAGTTTTCCCAAGCGTCTCTGACCGCCTCGATGACGTCTTCTCGGCTCAAGTCGGGTGTCTCATCGGTAGAGGCTTCGTTATCACGCAACGCAGCTCGCATGGCATTGTAGATTTCCTTATAATCAACCACCGTCTTTTGTGAAGACTGTGACTGGGCAGACTGGCGACGGTGTTCTCGCAAGACGTTATTGAGCTGTTCCTTCATTTGCTCCAAGCCTTCATCAATAACTCTGGAAACCTCGTCTTTACTAGGAGGCTCAGCCTCTTCAATTCCCCTGCTTCCGACCTTCTCCAACCTCTTGCCTAGTTCTCGCCCCATGCCTAGAACCTCACCCCTCAGTTCGCGCACTAGAGCTTTAACCTCTGCAGTCAAGCCACCACCCTGGGTGACACTGTCTTTGACGGATCGGATAATGTTCATAAGGTCTTCATTTACAAGCTCCGCGCCACGCCCAGATGGTGCAGATGATCTTCTATTCTCTCCATTGAAGAGGAGTCGGTCGACTCGTTGGGGCACAAGGCCACCCCTTTCCAGTTCCATGTCTTGAATGCCCAAACTCCCGCTTCCGGTTGCGCTTCCAAGTACGACAGCATTCTCTGATTGCGAACGAATGTACTCCGCCAGCTCGTCGACCTTGGCAGAGGTGGCTAGCCCAGAAAGCTTCTGGGACAACTGGGTAAGCAATCCAACCAGTGACTCTTGTCCTTCTTTAGTGCCGAGCCCATTCCAAATCTTCTCCAAAAGTATGAGTGAGGCAGATGTGTCGACTCCAGACAGAGAAGGTGTGCTGATGGAACCACGGTCAATTGACTCAGCAAAGCTCTTTGGTGATGGTATCCGGGGAAGTTGGAAGGCTCGTGAATGCGTGGGAGGTGAGCCAAAGGGCTTATTATCAAGATACGGGCCATTTAAGGAGGTGATACGACTGGATTGCTCGTTAATATTGCCCACAAGTTCTCTAAGGCTCCTCCTGACGTCCTCATCTCTGGACTTGGTCGCCTCCTTCAAGCTTAGTAAATCAGTAGCATTGTCCCGACTTCGCCGACTCAAAGCCGACATCTCCTTCTGCAGAGATGTCGCAATATTTGTGAGCGTAAGAAGTTGAGCGGATACATCATCCGAATAGGGAGGCTGCTTAGGCGTGGAGCCGTTTGTGATGTTAGACAGAGCAGGCTCTGCCTCTCTTGAAGAAGACTTGGTGCCCATATTTTGCAGAGCCAGCATAGTCGAGCTCTGCGGTGGCGTATTCTCGCCCAGTATGCTCTGGGGAAGCCGTCTGGCCGTCGGCCTCAAAATAGGCGTCAAGCTGGGTCCAGGAATCGGTGTTGAATTGGCAGAGTCTCTGTCAGACCTTGGCTCGGGTGGTAACTCTCGCGGTGTTGTGGGTGTTGCGGGTCTGAGGTCCGGTTTACTCCAGGTTCCTTCAATCATCAAGCTCAGGTCTCGTACAGAACCAGGTTGTAGCGACTGCAAACGGCGATGTGAAGCGCCCTTGACTAGGGCTCTCTCCGGTGATCCGTCGCCGCGCCTGACAACGGCACTGTTTTCCCGCGCCCGCTCGTTCAAGGCAGCATGCGCAGATTGAATGGCGCTCGACGTGCCGGCACGCGAGGTAAAGCCGGGCGACTGGGGATTGGGGTTCAATGGTAGAGGCGGCGGAGCTCGTTCTGGATCTGAGCTATCCCACCTACCGAGTGTTAGTCTCGCGTCGCCAAGGTGGACATGAAATTCTAAAAGAAGATGAACCTTCTTTGGAAAGAAAGAGGAAAGTGATGAAGCACGAAAGGGAAGGAGGGAATATTAATTTGGAAAGAAAGAAAAAAACAGGTCATAATTACGCACATAGGAACGAGAGCTCGCACGCCGTGGTCCGAAGAAGCAGAATGCTGGTGTTTTAGGTATCTCTCTCCATCTCGGGACGAATTCGAGTCCCAATCTGACAGTGACATATTCGAGGAATAACGGGTCCTCTGCTCCAAGAGACCCTTTATTCCGTGATGTTTTGTTGAGGAATGCGATGTGGACTGACGAGGAATGCGGACAGCAGCCGCTTACTCTTTTCGGGGTCGAATATGTCCACCAAGCATATGCAAAATTGGTATCGTGTAATGTAATCAAAACGGGGAAAAAAAAAACAGGACTCGCAAGAGGATAAAGTCAAAAATATCAAGGTCGTCTCTTCATAATCCTGTCTTGGTTCGCAAATCGATAATCAGAGGATGGATGCAGACTTGGGCAGACCGGGGAGGAAGGAGCGGTAAATTGATCGCTTTGAAGGGCCATGGATTGTTGACGACGGCTGGGTAGCCCACCCAGTCATTGGGCTTCAAAGTAGGCGCCATGTTTACACATGGAGCTCTGACTGTTGCCGGGGCAACGGGCGGGAACGAGGGGTCATTGCCCAAGCCACGCGTGTAACACTCCATACGGCCTCGGCTGGAAGGTACACTTCAGAACTTTCATCTTTTTTTTTTCTTTTGTGAAAAGGATGCAGAAAATTTGTGTGACCCCGTGCACGCAGTTGTCGCGCGCCGATTTGCTACGAAGCTGCGGCTATTTATGACGTGGACGACGGACGGGAGCATGTTTGTCTTTGGGCTGGAGCTTGTCGACATGGAGTGGCGGAGAGGCAAGGACTCGATACCGTCCATTGTGCTCCATCTTGTATGTCATGTTGGTCCTAGGTGCTCGTACTCTTTGAGTTCTTTAGCGGCTCAATGACGTGAGTTGTGCAACGTGGAGGCCGCCTTATCCTTTGTTTACAATGGTGTTGTGTAGACTTTGTCTCCAGTGCATGAGACACTCCGCGGTCACGAAATCGTCTTGGCAATGTTCACCCAGAGGCACTGTCACGTAGAACCGTGGCCGCAGGAACATTCCAGATTCCGTCAAGTGACTGTCCTCTAATCAGAATTGCGGTGTGGCCCACTCCAAGTTCACAGCACTAAAAGTATGATGAATGGCTGTCGGAAGCCTGGCTTCTCTCCCAAGACTTTCTGACGCACCATGTTTGTTGTATGTTTATAAAGCAAGAAACTAAACACTTTGGACCAAAAAGTATACGGCTGGATTGCTTGTTGAGAACACGAAGCAGGCCGTGTAGTCTTGGGGAAATCTCCACATAGACCAGACGGTCAGCTTTGCGGAAGGTTGATAACGAAACAGAAAAAGAAAATATAAATGGCCGCTTAGCGGCCCGAAAACATGCAAGTTTGAGTCGCCTTGCTTATGAGATCGGGGCGGCAATGTTCGCCATCCAGCATGAGTTCACTCCGAACCCTGATGGCACTTGTGATTGTGGCGGTATAAGCCTCGTATAAATCCTACCACTTTGCTCAGTCTTACCTATGTCTTTCCTCTTCTCTTTCCCTAGGTGCATCGAGCATATTGCCCAGTACAGAGGCGTGAGTCTCTGGAGTCCCCTTTATGCCCGTATTAAAAATGAGCAGAAGCACACGATTATACCCTTCCAGATATTTCAATTACAAAGTAGGCACAGACATTAAGATGGGTCTCTAGTGAGTGTTACATAGGCCTCGATAATCTCAATAGGCCATGATTTTTGGAGCTGAGTTATCTATCCACATTCGTAATTCCGAATCGTCCAACCCTCGCTCCATCTATTTGTAAATAGCCAAGAGCAGTAGTCTACCGTCATCAAATGCCAAACAAGCTTGTTTTTCCAACCCATCCAACTTTCCTCCGCCAAAAAAAATATATATATGTATATATATAAACTTCAGAATTCAGAAAAAATCCATTCCCATTACAAAACATTTCCAGATTGTAAAAGAGTAAGAGTGACATGCGGCCTATTACTTCTTGGAGAAGGCAACATCAAAAGCGGGAATGAGTGTCTGGGCAAGCCAGAAAGAGAAGACGAGCTTGGGACCGGTCATGAGCAGCTAATACAGATGTCAGCAATCGTTAGCGCTTTGGTAGAGAGCCAGCGGAATTCATGCATATGACACAGGCATCGAAGGGACCATTTACCTTGGGAACCAGGCCCTTGAAGAAGCTTGAGAAACCCTCTTTGCGAGCCATGTTGGCCAGGATGCGGAATCCACTCTCCGGGTTGTCAAAGTTGCGGTTCTGGATTCGAGTCTTGATGACATCGAGAGGAGCAGAGACAACAAGTGAAGCTGAAGCGCCGGCAATTGAAGCAACAAAGTTTTGGAACCACGTAGCCTTGTTGTAATCTTGGAGCTGGAACGCGTATTCCTTGGCAAAAGCAGAACCGCCAAAAAGCTGCAAAAGGCGCATCATCAGTCTACGAGCCAGGTGGCGCAAATAAAGATGACCCAAGACTCAACGTACCGCAAATGATCCGGGCGCATTACGGGCAGCCGTCCATCCCCAACCACGGTATAGCCCAAACCCTTCGTCAGCAACAATCTTGAGGACACCACGGCCCTTGAAGGCGTCGGGGTTTGTCTGGCGCTTGATCTTGAGGACATCGAGGGGTAGAAGGACGATTTCACCGATACCAATCAGACTGCAGCACAAACATGGTCAGTTTCTGTTATTTCTTTGCCTCTTCCGATGGCAAAAGTCATCCCAGCAACCTGGGAGATGTCGACCGGAGGTCCGCTCACCTGCCAGCAGTAGAATGCATAATGGCCTTGCCAGTCTTTTTGCCGAAAGCCGCCTCAAAGTCCTTTCCATAGTGTTTGGCCAAATAGTCGCGTGCAATAGGCTGACCGCCATACTTGTATATTCTTTGAAGGACTTTGTAACCGGCTGCGTAACCGAGACCCGGGAACAGCGAGATGAACTTTCGACCCAAAGGAGCGCTAGCCTTGTCCTTGAAAATAACCTGGTTCAACTGGCTCGCACTGGCAACCTGGGGGTTGTGAGAAATCGCATTGTCAGCTCGTCCGTGGCAAGTTTCTTTATCACCAGTGTAGGTGATATGCAGAGGTGCGCTGCATATTGTGTCAGAATTCTCCTTACTCGGGTCTGGTTGCTCATTAATCGCTTCGCAATCGTATCAACCTAGACAAATCATGTCAGCATGTTTCAGCAACTACCGTCTCTTTGCGAAGAGTCTGGATTTTGTCGTACAGGGTGAAAAATTGCCAACTCGGCGATACCAGCGGAGCCTGCGACCAGTCAGTATGCATCAGACCCTGAGTAAGCTCACAAAGCCTCGGGCACTCGAGTAGGGTGAGGACTTTGGAGCTTGCAAGTGGCGAATGGTGTACCTGAGCCAAGGAGTCTGGCCAAGTTGGACTCCTTTTCTCGGCCTGCATTTCCAGTCGGGGGCGACATTGTGAGAGATTCTGGGCGATGGGAATGCGAAGGGTCTCCCGCTGGCCGATTTAGTGGTTGAGGTTGTCACAATGAAGTGAAAGCAATGAGGAGAGAGAAGGGAAAAAAAGACGTCTCCGGGGAAACTGGGCTGCTGACGGATAGGGAAATTTTTTGAATGGCGTAGGCGTGCCTGGCGTGTGGTTCCCGAGATCGGGAGCTGGCGACAGCGGACGGTTGGGGTCGGTGCTTTGCCAGCTTTCAGTGCTCGCTCAACCTGGGGAATATTGGACCAGTTGACCCCTTGAGCCGACTTTTGACAGTTCCTGAGCTCAGGTGCTACCCTAGTGAGCTAGGTACCTAGGTACATATGTACTCTGGCCGGGTGGCCGGGTGAGGGGTCCAATCAGCGCTTGTACGTACGTACTGTATTGACCACATGTCAGTGATCGACGGTTGCGCCAGAGACGCGAGGCCCCGTTCTGGCTGCAAATGCATGGCGCAAGTAATTCGTCCCTCCATCATATGTTCATGTCCACTCCTCCTCGGCAATCTACGAGTTGGGGCCACCACTTTTAGGCTCACGCTGAAGGATTAATTACTAAGGAAGGAAGTGGCTAATAGTTCTATGTGACAATGTACTATAACCACTCCTCGCAAGACCACACGGAAATGGCGCGATGCATGTAGGCATGCCCAGCAAACCGACTACGACCCCAAACAACAAATTATCACACGATGCCCTCAAAATCTTCTCCACCCAAACATTGTTGAAGTGGCATATGGTACATAAGATATAGCCTACGCAAAGGGATATATATATCCATCCGTCTAGGGATAGTGGTCGTGGTGTAACAACGTCAAGCGTCACCCGCCCGCCGGTACCCTCAATAATCTCTAAACACTGCAACCATGTCGTCCAGCCGCATCACCTGGCCGAGCAGTTTTTGCTGGCCTTCCAAATGTCGGTTATATTTGTTATAATGCTCCGCAGTCATCACTTCTTCCTCTTTGCCCTTGACGTCCTTTCTCTCCACAAACGTGAGAATGTTGCGCTCCTTGTGCCGCTCCACATCCAACGTTTGTAGGCACCGTAACATACCCTTGTAGATATCATCCAACAATTGCGACTGAACTCTTTCGCCATCGAAAAACCAGAAAAACAAAGTTCGGTTGGCCAGTCTGCTGTTGTCCTTTGGCACCTCCTGAACATCCACCAGCCCTGCCATTTGCATCGCTAGCATTTTCCCTTGGACGTCACCTTTCTTCATGAGAGCAGCTGACGGGAGCATCTTCTCGTCCAATTTCCCCTTCTCCCTCAGGATTCGTGTCAAACGAAGGCCATGTCGTCCGAACGACTGCTCAATATACGCGTCAAGCTCAGACTCACGGAGCCGGTCCATCAACAACTCAAAGTCCACGGTCCACTGACCCCGGCCCTGAGTTCCACAATGACGTACAAAACGATGCTTGCTCTCAGCCAGTAACAGAAGATGTTGCCGCATTTGGTCCAGCCGACTGTCTTTAGCCATGGCCCCATCCTCGAATTTGACCTTGGTTGACCTGTCGCCGTTGGTATGTGTATGGCTCCCCTGGGCATCGATATCGTCCTCTGATCCCTCTTCTTCGCTTTCTTTGGCTGAGGCTGCGGCCGCGGCCGCAGCTGCAGCTCTAGCCAACCGTCCGCGAGGGACAGGAGCAGCCTTGACCTCTGGCTCGTCTTCTTCATCCGAGTCGCTGTCATAGGCATAAGGTCCCGATCTGATCTTCTCGGCACTGTCAAAGTCTATTTTGTCTTTTGGGGCCTTTCCGATACCGCCGAGAACCTTAACTTCGTCGCTCAAGTTTTCGTATATTTGCAATGTGGTGACGCTGGGCTGTGGTCCTTTGTTCTCTTCACCAACCAAAGGATCTGCTCGACATCTGGAGACCTTTGCTGTGAGTAAATCTAGCAGGGAGCGGTAAACATGGCCCGTAGTCTCGCCAAGCATATCTGCTGCAAAATCAGCCAATCTTTGATTGCGAAGCTCAACCAAGCACTTTTCATGATTAACTCGAACCACAACATTGGGCTGGTAGATATGGCGTTAGTAACTCTCTTGCTACACAATTTTAAAAAAGAAAGTGAGAAACAAAAAAATTGGAGTCGAGTTAGACGTACATTCAACTCGACATCATCATCAAAGGGGTCCGGGTGACTTGAGCCATTTTGTAGCTTCCTTCTCTTTGTAGAAGGTCCGGAAGTCTGATCTAGCTGCCGTTTCAGGGCCTTGCTCTGGTCACGGAATGTCTTGAAACGCTCCACAATCTGCATGTGCTGTTCTATTTTGTTCTTGCTCGCCTTTTCCCCAGGAGCTGTCTTTGTAACATCAGCTTCAATTTCCCGGTACACCTCAGCGGGATTGCGAAATGAATCGGGCCGAACGGTTTCCAATATTTCTGCCTGTATTAGTCGTGACAGTGCAGAGTTTAGATGGTCCTTGGACTCTATCAGGCCAGATGATGACTCATGTGATCCGTTCGTATGTCCATTGATCTTGGGAGCTCGAGACGTGAACGCGTGTGTAAGATCGGCTACTCTGGCATAGCCCAGTTGCATCAGGGTTTGAACGAGGTCTCTCTCGGCCGTACCGTATTGACTGTTGATGACCTCCAGTATTTTGCCAGATCGCACGAGGTTGTAGCAGGCATCCGAGTTGGCTTCATAGTTGGTTCCTCCCGTATCAGGGTCAGTATAGTGGTAAAGGAGATTCTGTTGAATCAAAACACCCAGGCCATTCCGGAGATGTCGTGGTCCGAGTGATACATGTTGAACGAGCTGTGCAAGTGTGCATCGGCCCTTGGTGAAGAGCGCGACCAAAATGCGCTGTTGGGGAAAGCGAAGATAAGTCAGCCCTGCGACAAGCACAGCACTGCAAAACCTGAAGAGGGTTGAGGAAAACCTACGGATGGGAGTTCGCCAAAAAGATCGTTGACTAGGAGAGCACAAAGCTCTGCGGCATGTTTGGTCTGTTGGTGAACATGTCAGCGTTGTCCCGCGACAGCCCATTTGACGACGCACGGCTGGAGCTCAGTGAAGACTAACGACAAGCATTGCTTTGCTCCTAGAGATGCTCTCACTATCTCTAGAGCTACCACTGTGACTACCTGTACGGCATTGAACTGTAATGTGTAATTTGATATAAAAAAAAAACGAGGCAGCCAAATTTAGTTGCGTTGAATTTCGCTTGTGACACGGGTAGATGAAAGGTAGCGTCGGGGTGCGGAAGGCTTTGTCAAAAAAAAAAATCAGTCAATTGACGTGTTGCGGATTTGCCAATTTTTCCCAGGTGGTGAATGGAACGAACCTGTTACTGTGTAACTACTCCGTACTCCGTACTCCGTACGAGAATGGGGTAATGTGGCTGAGCATCTAGGCTGTGGCGTCGTACGTGTATCGACTTGTTGCAAGCAACCAACCCTTTAAACAACCCCGATACCACGATTCGTCGGTGTTGCTGCTAGCTGCTCTAATTTGTAATTCAACCAAGTCTAGCGAAATCTCCGCGAAGGCGCCTATCACTTCAGTTGCATACTTCATATACCATCTTGGCTGCAAGAGATACTCTAACAAACTACTCCGCATCGAAATATGTAGTTCTACATGCTCCAATACTCGTGTGTTAGTCTTCAGAACTCCCACAGAACTCAACAAACGCCACGCCAGCTAACCCAGCCAAGATCCTAGGCGTCGCCCAACCATCGGAGTAAGCTCACGTATATTTATCACCAATTCTGAGGATACAACGAACCAGGGACATCATCAGCAACGCCGAGGGCAGAGCTTACCTTCATCAAAGCAAGCTAGGCGCATGTTTCTATAGGGTAGCCGTTCTGGCCCTGGGTTCATGTCGTCGAATCAATGCCTCATTATTCGGCAAAAATGATATTGTGCCGGGCTTCAACCTGTGAGGTGTAGCTGGAAGCTGACGTAAGTACCCGTATACTGTGAGAACGATGTTGAGATACCGTACACGTCGGTTCCTGACAATGCAGTTTGGATTGTTAAGTAGATTCAAAAAGTACCAGGTAGGACACGGCACTGGGATTGGAGCGCCCGAGTCAAGCCGTCATCGCAAGCAATACACCAGACCACAATTGATATTAGTTTCATTGTGGTTTATTGTGCCAGTGGTTCAATCGAGCACCTGGCCACTTTAGGTACCTGAGACTTTCTTCATGTGGTTGGAGCTTTGAAGGCTGCTCCTCTCAAGTTTGGAAAGTCCAAATCAGCACTACGATTTGGAAGTACCTACTCCGTACTCCGTAAGGTGACTGAGAATAAGGTACTTAGCAAAGACCAGTTTTACTCCGTACTTAAGTTAGGTAGGTATTTGGACGCGGTACTCCACCACCATCGGAACATGCATGGTGCTAGACTAATGCTTCGGCAACCAGTGGCAGGCTTAGAGTTGATCATCCAATCACGTGATCCCAAATCCTCCCCCGAGGCCGAAAATTAGACGGGAGCTGGTTCGTCGAACGAACGAGGCACTTCTTGTTGAGATCCAATTGCTTCAACACGACGGCCGAAGGATATCCAATTGCCTACGACCTAACCCTCGACAATGATCTCGAGATCGTCTCTCGCCAAAAGTGCGCAGCAGGCCGTCCGTCGGTCCTGCAGCGTCCAGTCCTTGCAGCGCCGTGGGTTTGCTGCCGCTGCCGCGACGGGAGCCTTTCAGACGACGGATGTGTCCGGGTTGAAGGTTGCTTCAAGGGATGCTCATGGTCCGACTACCAAGCTTGTCGTTGTTGCTAAGGCTGGTACTCGATACCAGCCACTACCCGGCTTGACTGTCGGCCTCGAGGAGTTCGCCTTCAAGGCATGTCTTTCTGCGACGACCTGATACCCATGCCCAAAAATTGCACCCGAGCTAATTTGCCTGTGCTTTCAGAATACCCAACGACGATCTGCGCTCCGTATCACTCGTGAATCCGAACTTCTTGGCGGCCAATTGAATGCCTCTCATACCAGAGAGGCTCTTGTCCTTGAGGCCAGCTTCCTCCGCGAGGATCTACCTTACTTTGCCGAACTCCTCGCCGAAGTGGTCTCCATGACCAAGTACACCAGTGAGATCTTGGTCGCCGCGAATTACTCCTCAAAGTAATGTAGGCTAACACAAATTATAGCTCACGAGTTCCACGAAGATGTCGAGCGGGTTCTCCACCTCAAGCAGGCCGCACTCAACGCCAACGTTGCTGCTCTTGCCCTGGATAACGCTCACGCGGTTGCCTTCCACAGTGGCCTTGGTGCTTCAGTCTATCCCTCGTCCTCATCTCCCGTCCAGAAGTATCTCAACGAGGAGTACATTGCCAGCTACGCCGATGTCGTGTACTCTAAACCTAACATTGCAATTGTCGCCGACGGTGCCTCTACTGATGCCCTTACCAACTGGGTTGGCCAGTTCTTCGAGGACGTGCCTGCCAAATCTCTGAACGGCCAGACCCTCAAGACCGAGGCCTCAAAGTATCACGGTGGTGAACAGCGAACGAGTCATCCCGGCGGCAACGCCATGGTCATTGCTTTCCCTGGATCCGATGCTTCTGGCTCCAAGCCCGAGATTGCCGTTTTGGCTGCTCTGCTTGGTGGTCAGCCCACAATCAAGTGGTCCCCTGGCTTCAGCTTGCTCTCCAAGGCTACCGCTGGAACATCCGGTCTTTCTGTCTCTGCTTCGAGCCTGGCTTACTCTGATGCTGGTCTCTTGACCGTCCAGCTGTCCGGCACCGCTGCCTCTGTGCGCAAGGGTGCTGAGGAGACGGCCAAGGCCCTCAAGAGCATTGCCGACGGCACCGTCAGCAAGGAGGACGTCACCAAGGCCGTTGCTAATGCCAAGTTCGACATTCTGGAGAAGGCTCAGCTGCGCTCACCTAGCCTTTTACAGGCCGGGTCCGGCCTTGTCAACGGCGGCAAGGCTTCTGACCTTGCCGCTCTCGCCAAGGGAATTGATGGCGTCACTGCTGATAAACTGAAGACTGTAAGTTACGACTTGTTCTTGTATTACACTGTACAATGCTGCTAGGGAGAGAAACTGACGTCCATTGTGCTGCAGGCTGCCAAGACTCTCCTGGATGGCAAGGCTACTGTTTCCACTGTCGGTGACTTGTTTGTGCTGCCGTATGCTGAGGAGATTGGTCTTCGGGTATAACCGGAGTATTGCAGCAGTGGAAAGAGCTTGTACCAACAGATTTAAAGTTGTCTAGAATGGGTGGGCCGGGGCTGCCGTATTTGTGAATATCTGTAGTAGAAATCCCCTTTGTTTACGTAGCGTTCCGACATGCTGTTCGGTGCCATGGTGATCCTGAATGTTCACGCCTGAAAGGTACACATCAGAATGGATGCGCCTGCATGTATGCCGACGTGTTTCGAGCCGGGCCTACTGCTCACACTAACATCCACGTTGTCTGGTGGCACAAGATATTGCATGCGAAGGGCGCTTTAGGCTTCTGGTGCTGTCATGTCATGCTACTAAAATGGCACCAACTTCCAACCACATTGAACATCGGTAGTCCGGGCGGTTGTTTGGGAAATCCACCGGCGGTTGGGTAGTGAAGAAGTACCTCACATAATCCCAACAATAAGTGCCCATGTATCAAACACCACCTACTTAAGTACCTAAAGTATACCAGTTGACAGTTACTAAGACCGGCGTCTGGTCATGTGGTGCTGTAATATTTTTGTCTGAGAGTTCATTGAGCGTCCAAAGCATGTACAAACATGCCGGGACATACTGTGACAAAGGCTCTGTATTGTGAAAATGGTGCGAGACTCTGCTTAAAAGCAGGTCCCTATTGTTCAGCCGTCATTCTCGCGCAAGAAGACTCCGAGCCCTCCCCTTAGGACTGAACACTGTTCACACTTGGCCTGTTCTGGTACAGTGTAGGCCTCGTGTTTAGGGCACAGGACACTGTGTCTCATGCCTGGTTGGCTGCTGGTGCTGTGCCGCTGTACTCTGGACTACGCTACATACCACGTACTGAAATGCTAAATGTCTAGGTACTCAAGTACCTACCTAAAGACTTCCCCTAGCGGAGTACCTCCTGCCTCTACCCGCTCGCGCGTTTCGTCAGTATGGCTGCCCACTTACTTAAGTATCGGCTTGCGGCCCACCAACGCCTCATTGTAGTTTGGGCAAGTGTGACAGGGTAGGGGAAAACAAAGCCTCATCACCAACCTCCACAGACCAGATAACTTCTCCCTTTCTCGGCTTCAATTTTCCATCTTTCCATGTTCTCCTCGCCCATTGTATGGCAGTCATAGCACCGTCGAGCTGGACGGCACGCCGGAGACCCTTCCTCCTACCTTACTGTCTTTCGCTTTCCCTCTAGGTAAGCCACACGACCTCCTCTTTCTGCCGCGCCTTTTCCCCCGTCCTGGCGCTGCACCTACTTGACCAACGTTGTTCACTTGCTTTCTTTATTCCCAACCACGACGAGGCCTTTGAGTCTACCAAACAACGGCATCAGTCCGAGCGCCTTTGATTCACTCTTTGCTAATTTTTCCTATAATAGAAGCGGGGAAAGTCGTCGATAGCGAACCGTTTTTTGTCGTTTCTGGTTCTCGAGACGCTAGCCAAACCTCCATCCTGGACCCCGAGTTCGCGTGACACAGAGGTTCCTCATCACCATCCCGAGGTTCGTGTAGATTGTTTTCACGTTCATTGGCTCACTCTTTGGTCGTCTATTTGCATAGATGCCGCTGTGTGGTAACGTCCATGTGCGGTCAATTTCGACGTACAAGGTGCGATGATCATGGGACTCCGGCGGTTCTTTTAGCCCTCTGTGACATCGCTATATGAACTGCCACGTCTCCATCGTTGTCACTTTTTCGTGCCGACAACTAATCTTTTATTTCAGTAGAGCTTCTCCTAATTAGCCCTCCAAGCCATATCTTAGGATCGAGCGGTGCAAGATTACTCTCCTTCCAGGGACGAGCTGGAGAATTTCATTGGATGCTACATCGAGACCGCCTACGTTGGCCAGCACTGAAGTTGTATTAGCGATTGGAGCGTTTCATTCTTCTTTTTCGAAATGCCTGTCCCCAAGAAAGAGGGC